CATATGACTAAATCAATAATAAAGGTAACAAGGCTCATCGTAGATAAACGCGCATAAAAGTGGATCCAAAATGCTAGTTGAGGAAATTTTAAGAATTCCATCGTATTTATGCCGGAAACATTTTCCCAGGAAGAAACAAATTTCATAAATAATAGAATTTCTGATAGGTAATAAATCATCCGATAGCTTAAATCAACAAATGCGTGTTTTTATGAGATTTCGTATCTATGTCCACATTCTGGAGCGTTGACACAGAAATCAGCCGCAATTCCTGTTCCATACATCTCTAGCACATAGATACAAGTATTACGAGTTACATCAATGATATCGAAATCAAGAAACTAGCGAGTTCTTCAGGTTTCTTTCTTAAATTCTCCGTAAACTTGACCTTCGACGGGATGGCTTGATTTCACAATAATTATTTATATAGCTATAGTTGATCTACCAATCATAATGATCAATTGTCTCGCCCGTACAAAATAGAAAATCGCTAATTTATCGTTTTGATTGATTAAAGATATCGAAAAGAAATAAAAAGTAAATTATTATTCGTTCAACTAATAAGATTGATCGATTCTTTTATGAAGAAATTAATCAGTTAAAATTAAAATGTTTAACATAGAAAAAGACGACGTTCCAGAAAATGTCAAGGAAAAATATATAGATGTTAAACAGGAGTTAAAAAATTACTTAAAAAGTCAGAAAACCGTAAAACCTGTTGCACAGAACTGGTACACACGGAATAACTGTTATTTACATTTCGTTCGTGAAAGCGGTACTCGTCCCTATTTTCCTCTTTTTTTTATTATCATTATTTTTAAATATTTCTGGAAACCAGCTCGATGTCCCGAATAGCAGTTGGAGAGTCGCATACAATTCGACAGAATCGACTAACGGGAAACAAAATAACAACATGTAAGGCGAGGTATTTATACGCTTGTGACTTGCTGATGAGCTTAGTGCGATCACCTGAGGAGGATGGTAATCATTTACAAAATCCTTCGAGTGGAAGGAATTAATGGGATATCATTAATAGGAAATCACCCCGTTCGATTGCAGCAGATTGGGTCACCGAAAAATGTGGAAACCTTAAACAGCGGGATTAATCGGTCCCTGTATATCTAATCAATCGCTCGCTAATGGTAGATAAGACCATCCTGTCGAGATTCGTGGTATAAACGTTCAGTCTTTAATTGTCTGTTATTCAAGCAACAATGATGAAGTTCTTGACACTCCTGCTTGTAACACTGTGCTTCGCTTCCGAAGTCCTTTGTAAGTATAATCTGGATAAGTATAATATAGGTACTATATTTAAGTACTATATGTATACATTATTATATATATTATTATATATATTATATATAATAATGTATAACATGTACATATAATAGCAATATATAATAGTACCTATACTGAAAATATGCTTCAAGATATAGTAGGATGTTGTTATGTATTAAGATATGGTGCTAATAAAATATGATATTTAAGTATAAATATGTATATCCTATTTATTAGATTTCTACAACAACACCATTTTCTATTTTAAATTCCTGTTTTATGAAATTATCATTTTCAAACTAGATCTTTCCAGTCTAATTGAGATACTTTATTTCAAATATTTTTTCAAATAACTAAACACTAATGTTCTACGAGATATCATTTACTCGTTTATCCACAAAAAAGAAAAAGTTCTGTCAATAGTTATGCGAAAGTGACCAAATCGTTTACTCTGCAGAAGAATATTCCTGTTTGTACTGTCATATTCTAAAGCTCAGCAAATATACGTAGACATCCAAGTTAAAATCTGCATAGTTGAAGCTACTCGTCTTTACACTTCCTTGCACCATATTCTTCAGTCGTTGTAATTCAGGTCAGATATTCTTCAACAAAGAAGAAAGAAAAATAAATAAATAAGAAAAGAATTAACGTTATATTCCACACGCTATTCTGTAATGTGGCATTTCTTTTTGAAGTAACTCAACTATGATCACTTCTAGTAATTTTAGTAGCGTCAACATATTAACACCATCTATCCTTCGTTTACTTTGACTAGAAATTACGAAATCTTTAAAACTCTTATGCAAATACGCCAAAGATTACGCTTCTAATCAAACAACGCTTTTACTCGACAGCCAAAAAAGGATTTGGTCCTGGAGAACAAGAATGGGGATACGTGAAAGTACGACCGACTTCGCAAATGTTCTGGTGGCTTTATTATACCACCGCGAATGTGTCATCCTACTATGAGAAACCGTTGATCATCTGGTTGCAAGGTGGACCCGGGGCATCCTCCACATCCTATGGTAACTTTGAGGAACTTGGACCTCTGGACGTCAACTTGAAGCCGAGGAATTTCACTTGGGTAGGACAGAAAGTCAACAGATGACTTTAACATGAGTTAAAACTTATCGATTTGGTCGATCTTTCTTTCTTGTTTTATCGTGTTCCATCTAAGCAAGCCCCGATATCGGTGTTAACTTGAAATTCGTCAAATGAAATTAGATCATTGGTAAAGCAAATAGATGTCCGATTTCATAATCTAGTCATGTCCGGTTTCATAATCTAGTCGTGATTAAAAAGAAATTAATCTTCTTATGAACAGTTTTAATGTAACATTAAAACTAGAGATTGATATGTTATATAAGTATATATATACTTTCTTTATAAATCAATATTTCCGACAAACCATAGAATTTTTTATAAAAGTCTATCGAAGATTATTATTAATATTACATTTAGTATTTTCATTACGTACACGGAAAGTTAGCTAAAAAAAGTCGTTGATAAAAATATCTCTGAAATAATTTCTTGAAGCTTTATGAGTAATTAAGTAGATATAAATATCATAAATAAATATTGAAACATTCACAGGTGAAAGATTACAACGTTCTCTTCATCGACAACCCAGTCGGCACGGGCTTCAGTTATACCACTACGCTAGGAGGATATACGACAACGAATGCAGAGATCGCACACGATCTCTTGGAATGTATAAAAGGTTTCTTGAAACAGCTACCGGAATTCGCTAATGTGCCCACATATATCACCACTGAGTCTTATGGAGGAAAAATGGGTGCAGAATTTGCTCTTTCATGGTACAAGGTAAGGTAATATATTTTAATTAAATTATTTTATTTAATATCCGACTTTTGCATGTATGTTCCTTTTGCCATTGCTTCATCTTTCTTTTTAAAATTACAGGCACAACAAGAAGAAAAAATTAAGAGTAACTTGAAGGGTGTAGCCCTTGGTGACGCCTGGATCTCCCCCATTGATTCCGTGATGACTTGGGCGCCCTTTTTACTCGCCACAGTACGACAAACCTTCTTTAATGTTATCAGTTATATTTTCAGTTTTTACATCATCTATACACTATCCATTTTTCATATTAATTGGCAAAATATTTTTGTAGGGTATGGTAGACACTGACGGCTATGAGAAGATCAACAAAGCAGCTCTACGAACAAAAGAGGCCGTAGATAACAAAAGATGGACAAACGCAACCAAGCTGTGGAGCTATACCGAAGGAGTGATTGGTGAAGTTACTAATAATATCGATTTCTATAACATTCTAACGAAAATAGAACCCGATAGCAATCAACTCTCCCTTATGCAAAGGCTTGTGTCAGAACCAACATTTGCTCAAGGTAAAAATATAATTTATTATTTAATATAATTGTCAATGATCCATACATAACGATATATAATAATATTAATATTAATTGATTATACAGGACGATAATTTTGAAGAATTATTTGATCGTTTTAGAATATTCCATCTTCAGCCAGGAATCCTTAAGCAAGCTGATGAACGGCCCTGTAAAAAAAAGCCTTAATCTACCTTCTAATCATAGCACCCAATCCAGTCTGGTGTTCAGCAAATTAAGAGAAGATTTCATGAAGCCTGTTATCCATATAGGTACTGTCTAATAGATAATAGGAACATTAAGAATATGTAGCGGCACATGAGCTAGAGGACAATTCGAATCATGTTGTTGTTTTGCCTCGGAGTATCAACATCGTTAAGACATACATAATGTAATAATAAATAAACTCCGAGCAAAACAATGTCGCCGCTATGTGCAACTGTCAAACAAACACCATTCTCTACAAATAATAAAGAATCTTAATCAATTAATATCGAATTTGTTTTTCTAGTGGAAAGTTTGTTGAACGAAACTAAACTAAAGGTTGTGGTAATCAGTGGTCATATGGACCTCATCGTTGACACTCCAGGTATCTTCATTTCTAAAATAATCACCTTAACATCTCTTCAATTCCTTGATTTAATAGTAGAATAATGAAAAAAGAAAGAATACTGCAAAATTATGAAAAACATTTCATGTGAAAACTATTTATAAAAAATGTAATATACATTTCTGCGCAATCGTTTTGCATCATTTTCAAAGAACTATAATTTTTGCGATAACTACGTAAAGTATAATATTGATACAACGATGCAGGCACTCTACGCTGGGTTGAAAAGATGCAGTGGAAAGACGCTAATTCCTGGCACAGGTCCGACAGAGCTCCCTTGGTAGTAGAGAACATCATCGAAGGCTATGTAAAGTCTTATGGCAATTTCTCTATGTACTGGGTCAACAGAGCCGGACACATGGTAAATAAGAAATCTAACCATTCAGGTTGTTTTATAACTTGTCATTCGTACCCTCTGTTTATCATTGAAGTTAGTCCCACATGTTATGAAACATCCTTTATAACTGATTATTCTATATAAATATAATTATTTCATATAAAGATGTTATATAAAAATTACTTCATCATGCAGGTACCAAAGGATAATCCAGCAGCAATGGCATGGATATTAAAGGACTTTACAAAATAACAAGCAAATCATTTGAAAAGGCTGATTGCATGAAATGGAACCCAACATTGAATGAATGAAAATTAGGACGAACTAAATAAATTAAGACAGTTACAGAAATTCGTTTTGCACCGTATCATACTTATTAAACTTCAAATTCACGACATTCGCTATGTTAATTACAAACAAACCACTTAACTACTAATGGCCAAAAAGAAAATTCGATTACCAGATTCTTCGATCGCGTTGTCCGTTTTCAAGGTCTGATATAACCGCAGCAAGATAGCGATGCTCGTTATTTCCAAGAAAATTCACCACCACGAGGGACTGTTCGTTTATTTTTTGCGATTTAGCCGGGGCCCTGAGGCGAAATGGTTTACCGGAACGACGTGGTTCTGGCTCGCGCTGTGAATTTTCCCACACTCGTAAAACGTCGCAGAAGCAACAATCCGAAACTGGCTAAGCCGCAGACGCCCGCCGATTTTGTCAATAAGGAACGATTGTTTAGATTCGAGCGGATACTGGGCAGTAAAACGAAACGATCCGCAAACAAGACCGCCTGCGCTTGCGGGGCAGTATCGCCGATAAAGAGGAAAGGCTTCTGCGGTTGCCCGATCCTGTAAATAAAACATAGGAAAAAATCTTTCTTCCCAGCCCAATCACCGAAAAACGCTCATATATCTTTACGTTCTTCTTTAAAATATTATATAAAGAAATTCTTTAAAAGTTTCTTCTAATGGCAGTTGAAATTCCTATACTCCTACCTAAATTATATATGGTTTAGAAAAATTTGCTATAACTGGAAAAATAACTACTCAATATTTTGATCTAAAATTTGAATGAGTAGATAATAAGTCTTGACTTTAAATGAAATTAATTAAAAATCTTTTACAGGAATTTTATATATTATAGTAGTATATTTCATATACTACTGTATCAATTTAAAAATAATAAAAAAAAAAATTAAAAATATTCCGATAAAACTAGAAAATATAAATATAAAAAAGTATAATAGTATTGAATAAAAAATAGAAATGTACTTTCTTTCAGACGAAAATTATTTTTACCATCTGCCGCAGCTTCTGTAAATGTTTTTCTTTACTTATACCATCGGGATGATTTAAGGAACGGAAAACAGGGGCGCAGGATTAACACCACGAAGACAATTCTGGTTGTTTTCGAAGAACATACCGAGGATGCCCGGGATACGAGACCAAGGTACTTTGGAGCTTTGAATACGCTAATCCGCCGGTTCCTTCCGCCGTCAGATCCACGGTGATTTGTTTCTTAATATTTCAAGATGGAACGAAGCTCGAAGGACGGCACCAGAAACGGCGAACAAACAAATAACGACGTTTCTTCCCTCAATCTCTTCATCTTCGGTTACGGCCGTAGCTGTAGCTTGGCCTCTTCAAAAACACGATTGAAAGAAATATTTTTAAGTTACTGGATCGTTAAAAATTACCGGCAGAATGTTATTTCATGTGATGATAGTTTTTTAGATAATCTTCAGGAATCAAGGTTTCATAAAATTTAGAGAAATATTTGAATATAATAAAAGTAGGAGTATTTATAATAGAAGATCTTGATATTGATTTGTTTTAGTAACAACAGCATACTGACAACTAATGATCGCTAAGAATGAGATAATAAAAGCATTAAGAAGAATGTGGAAACAAACCTAGTAAAAGCAAGTCAAAGATAAGTGAAGAACATATCTTCGTTTAACAGCTGCATTGATAAAAGTTAACCTTTATTGATAACGCTTTGTCTCAATTGTAAAATAGATCTATAAAAGTAGAATAGGAAAACATAAATAGCTTCTGTTTAAAGGATATTTAATTTGACCGATTATAGGTAATATAATTATATAGGACGATTATAAATAATAAAATTTATAATAAAATTTTATCTTAAACAAAAATTTGATAAACCTGAAACATGTAGATCTAAATTATTCATGATACAATTTTAACTTTCACATACAACTTTTATAGATCTAGAATTTACTAAGATAAATTCTTAATAAGATAGATTTTAATAAGATTATATGCGTATAATCTGGATTTCATTGATACAAAATTTATACCTAACTCACTTACAAATTTTCCAAATTTATAATAATTAGTAGTTAGCAGTTAGTAGTTCAGACATACGATAGTTCCAATATTAATTATAACGTTACTTTCTAATCCAGCAGAAAGTGAATCGCGAAACTTCGTTGGAAAAGGGGTGACTTGACGGTTTTCCCCCTAGTCAAAGTCACCGTGGCCCGCTAACGTGGAAGAGAGGGTGGCGAGCACAGAAGAGGAAGACAAGAGCGGTTCCAAGAAGCGGCACGGTTTCGGTATAATTACCGCAACTTTGTTTACATATCGGCTCGTTTACTGCCGGCGTGGGTGTTGGGACAGCATATGTGTAAATAGCAATAAAACATGTACCCACGGGTCTCAGATAGGTAACGCGACGCCTCCCTCGCATTGAAAACGCGCGAACGACGTACCTCCAGGAAGCCACGATGGGCGGAGCTGGTCCATCCTCTGAATCTCCGAGTCAAATTAAACACCCTTCGTTAGAGAATTGGTCTAACCAGCCGCAAATCGTAGTCAGTCATCGACGTATACGAACTCGGACCAGTTCGAGGCGGTTCAGTGTTTCCAATCTTAAAAGCATTATACAACGTTTAACACCTAGAAGAACCAGTCGTGTCATTTTAACAAAGCAAGTTAAGCAATCAGCAAAAGTAATTATTTTTATTAAGAAGTACAATTGAGGATATCAGTGGAAAAATGACACAAGTGTGTCTCTCTTTTAATTAGGTAGATGATATAAGAAAATTTAGTATTATTTCTTTACATACGTAAGTTTAAGTTTATTAATATTGTGGACGGAAGACGTAAATCGACCTCTTTCGTTTACTTTGCGTTGGATGTCTTCAGTTTGGCCAATTTGTTTACCTTCCGATATTCTGCGGAAACCGAAATTACATACATGCGATTATATACCACCCACAATGCGTTACGGAATTAACTTCATTAATTTTTTGAAGATATTGTCATTGTACTGTTATTGTACTACTTTCCTCCCTGGACGATTCAATTATTCATAAATTTTCTTCTTGGCGTTGAACAATTGAATTATAATTTCTAGTGTTGAATTACGATATTAGATCATAAAACTAATTGTGAATGATTGTGAAGTGCTCTCTAGGTGATTGTTCAATCTGAAAGAATGCATGGTTCGACTGTAGAGGTACTCGAGGATTTTCTTGGATCTTGTTGGTCCTTGAAGACAAAAGAAGTGGACACAGAGAACGAAGTGCTTGCGATTTAGGCTATTTACTTGTGAAATTGTATCTGTGTGAATCACAGTCTTGAAACGACTTTTGAAAATTTGGACAATGGCACTGGTAATGACGATGAGAACGAAGATCGACGAGGATAACGCATAAGAACATGAAGAGAGGAAGGAGATAGTGAAATTGTATGAAACTACAAAGTTTTCAATTTTATAATAGGCTTCTAAAAAAATCCAATACTCCAAATAATAAAGAATTCAGTTTCAATCCTAAAAATCCAAATAATAATAAAAATTCTAATTTCGGTCCCTTATAACTTGAAGAAATATCGATAACAATATAAGAAAGTGCACGAACATCAAATGTTTTGATCATTCCATCTTCTAATGGAGCCAAACAGCTACCAAAACCACCCCTGCTCCTTGTCGAAGATCTACAACTGCGATCTACGCAGAAATTACGAATTTTGGAGCACAGAAGAAACATTTCCAACTATGTGTCCTCTACCAAGCTGCTATAACTTAGTCCCGGATGTGTTGACCACGAGGAGCGTGCCTCTTTCGTGGGACCTTCCTCTACTAAGATACAAACCACAGCCACGCTATGAGAAACCACCATACTCATACATCGCTTTAATAGCCATGGCAATCAATTCTTCGCCTAAACAGAGACTCACCCTTTCAGGGATCTACAGATTCATTATGGATAGGTTTCCTTATTACAGAGAAAATCGTCAAGGATGGCAGAACAGTATAAGGCATAATCTGAGTTTAAACGATTGCTTTGTGAAGATACCAAGGGATAAAGTGATTGGAAACGATAATGGGGAAGATCAAGCTGGTAAAGGAAGCTACTGGACTTTAGATCCTTCTGCAAGTGAGATGTTCGAGCATGGTAATTATAGAAGAAGAAGGATGAGGAGGCAACGAGGATTGACGCAGGATAAACAGGAACAGCATCACACGGTGGTCTCGGTATGCAAAATCAAATTGAGTTGTATCTTTAAAAAATTTTATTTTACTATTTCTTTTTTCTTTTTCACTCCTTTTCCCCATTTTTCTTTGTTTCTTCTTTTTTAGTTTTCGAATTTGGTTTCAGAGCTTCTTACAATGCCTTCTTAAAAAGAAACTGGGTCTACTTGATCCAAGTGTTGGAATAATTTTTAGATGATGTGGAAGATGATTATATTTTTTTTGTAAATTTATACCTTGTTATTTTAGGTTTCGCCGGAAATCATATCCAATTTGACACGCAAGGAAAAAGATGAACAGAGATGTGAAACAATTGAGAAAAATGCTGAACAAGCTCAAGGACATTGTGTAAAGTCGATGATGTTTACGATCGAGAATATCTTGCGAAAATCCACAAACGAATCTCCTATTTAAATGTGTAGGAACTATGCATTTTTAATATAAAAATAATTAATTGTAAAGTAAATAAATAATTGATTTGATATTGTTATTGTATACTTATTCGATATACTGAATTAAGGTTATCGAAAATTCTTGAATACAATATAAAATAAATGCTGTTTATTACAAAAATGTGCTTATTTTTCTAATTATATATCCCATGTTGCGTATAAAGATTAAAAGTATTATTTAACGATTAATCTAAAATATGGTACATTATATACAAAATTATAGTGTGTGTACAAGGAAGACTTGTTGTATACAAGAATTGTGCTATCTTTCAGCAATTAAATGTTTTTTTAAGTTGAATAATTTTTTAACTTCTAGAATGTAGTCTTTAAAGCATAACAGCAAACGAGTAATAACAAATCTATGACGATTCTTTTACAAAATATATGGTATATGGAGATTATACCTAGTAAAATTAAATAATATTTAGTATTCACATGTGTATAGTACATATCAATAAACTAAAAAGAGCTATTTTTTTTTTTGTATCTTAAATAGTAGAAAGCTCATCTATGTCTGACCCAAGAATATATATTATATTAGAATTTCTTATAATATAGTAAACCTACTTTGAATATTATTGTCTCATGGAGACATAGAATGTATTTTAAAAATGCATTAACTTCTATCATATCTTTATCTTGATAATTTCAGCTTCTCCCTTATCAACTTCTTATCATCAATAAACAATGATTTCAGGCATTCGAATTTTTTCTCATTAGTTCTAAATCAGAATCCATCATATCCTTTACAAGACCCTAAAATAATACTTCTTAATACTATATTTATATTTATATATTACTATATATTATTATATATAAATATAAATATTTACTATATTTATGGATATATTTATATTTATTATAAATATTAGTATCAAGTTTTTTAATAATTAAATACCTCAAACGTAACAGTAGGTTTCCAGCCAATTTTTTCCTTCGCTTTATTAGCATCACCCAAAAGTACATCCTGTACAAGCAAATATTTATAATTAATGTTACAATACTGTGTAGTTATTGTTACATATAATTAATACTTACGACTTCCGTCGGACGGAAATATTTAGGATTTACTTTAACCAATACTTGTCCTGTTTGTGCATCCTGTCCTATTTCGTTTATACCTTCACCTTCCCACTTAATAGTACGACCTACATATAGAAATGCTGCCTCCACAAATTCTCTAACACTATGCGTTTCTCCTGTTGCTATAACATAATCATCCGGAATTGGCTGTTGCAACATCAACCACATTGCCTGTAAAGTATACAGATTTTAAGAAACTTTCTAAATATTTCCAGTATTATAAAGAATAATATATGTTTCTCTTACTTCAACATAATCTTTTGCATGTCCCCAATCTCGTTTAGCATCTAAATTTCCTAGTTCAAGAACATCTTGTAAACCTAACTGTATCTTCGCTATAGATCTAGTTACTTTTCTTGTAACAAAGTTCTCTCCTCTACGAGGACTTTCATGATTAAATAATATACCATTACATGCAAACATATTATATGCTTCTCTATAGTTTACCACAATCCAGAAGCTATATAATTTTGCGCAAGCTGAAATTTTTAATATTCAAATTAATGTTATTTTAAAATATATAAAATTAAACATAAGATAATATTTATATGTAATCACCATACGGTGAACGAGGGTAAAATGGAGTTTTTTCATTTTGTGGTACTTGAGTTACTCTGCCATAAAGTTCAGATGTTGACGCATGGTAAAATTTTACAGATTTTTCAAGGCCACAAGTACGTATTGCATCTAATAATCTAACTGTTCCTACTGCATCTACTTCAGCAGTATATTCACTTACTTCAAAACTTACCTATGAAAACATAATAATACATTGCCAAATAAACTCTTATAAATAATCATAAAATACAGTTTCAAAAATAGATGTGTACCATGACATGACTTTGAGCAGCAAGATTATAAATCTCTGTTGGTTGCACAGAACTAATCACTTTAACTAAACTACTGGAATCTGTCATATCACCATAATGAAGCTTCATTCTGCCTTGGCGGTGGCATTTTGGATCTGCATAAAGATGTTGAATTCGGGCAGTATTAAAAGAACTAGCTCTCCTAATTATACCATGTACATCGTATCCTTTTTCCAATAAGAATTCAGCTAAATAGGAACCATCCTAGAAAGAAAACATAGTAATATAACAAATTGAGATAATATAATTCCCAAACAGAATACAAAAAATTAACACGTATCTATGAAAGATAGTGTTCTATCACAATGAAATTTCAAGATGTTTTACGAAACACGTGTAATAGATACATAAATATTTTCTATGATAAGTTCCAAATACAGTCTTGAGCCACTATATATCAACAAAGTATGAAATGGCAACCTTACTTGTCCGGTAATACCAGTAATTAATGCGACGCGTCTTCTGCCGTCAGTTGCCATCTCGATGCACTATTAAAAACTTGTCTTATTCTTCTGCAATATCGTTCAATTTTGCCAACTTGTCCGAACGTTATCAATACTGATAAGATAATTTGTTGCGTTCATTCATGTGCAATACATTCCAATGCTAGCTATAAACCTCACATTACAGATATCTACAGCAATACGGTTAATAGAATAGGTACGATAACCAATAGAAACTCAATACTATTCGCAATTTTGAGTTTATACAAGTGGAGAGAAGAAAAAGAATAATATTTAATTTAGAATTAATAAAATTGTATTATTTGATTTAACAATTACATATCCCTCATTTACTCCAAATTAAACTATATTACTTTGCAGATGCTATAAATAATAATGAGACTATACTATATGCGAGAAAAATCTATTTTATTAACGAATTTTCAATGTTCCTACCTAATTCTTTTTAATATCCAACTAAAAACAGTATTTATTTGAATGTTTCATTATTTAATAGAAAATGATAACAGCTACGAATCTTTTGAACAACTCAACACGTATAATGCTAGAATTACGCGCCTAGACATTTGTCATACATAGTGGGGATAAAAGCGGCCAATTAACAAGCTAATAATGTGATCTAAAAGCATTAGAAGTTAAACAATATGTAAGGCGTAAGTATGTATATATGTGTTTTATAGTTCTTTTGAAAGTACCTGTAATTTGTTGTACACTTGCAAAATTTAAAAGTAATTTTATTGCCATTGGTGTATTCGTGTAGAGATAAGCATGAACTAGCCAATCATAAGTATGACAATCATACATGTTTATATGTGAGAAAAGTGCTGTTTTGCTTGCCATTTTCACTGCAAAGTGTATTGTCATTCAGGTTGAGGAGTGATTAAGATTTAGTTTACAAAATAACATTAAAGAAAATGGCTCTTTTAAGTGAAAATTCGGGAAGATCGTTACCTGATTACGAGACACAAGCAGCAAAAATGAAAAGTTTCAGTCCGTACGCTGATAACGGAGGGTAAGTTGTACATAACCTATATCTTCTTAACATTAATGAATCATATTTATATATTTATATATTTTATTATATTTTTCTATCATAAATAATATAATTGTGAATTTTAAATAATGTAATAATATAATTATTCAAACTATTACAAATTCATTTTATATAGAAATTTCTTTTGTTATAATTATAGGAGTGTCATAGCCCTTGCAGGAGATGATTTCTGTGTAATAGCAGCAGATACACGTCTCAGTACAGGATTTTCCATTTATACACGTGAACAACAAAAACTCTTCCCTTTGTCATCTAAAACTATTTTGGGTTGTTCAGGCTGCTGGTGCGATACGCTCACTTTAACTAGACTTTTGTCTGCAAGAATGCAGGTAAAGTTTGATGAAGTTTCATTTTTAATTACTACAATTTAATGTTAAAATATTTCTTAATAATCTTAATAATTGTTAATAACCTTTTTTATGTATGATAGATGTATGAACATGAACACCAAAAAGAAATGCCAACATTAGCAGTTGCACAGATGCTATCAACAATGTTATATTATAAACGTTTCTTTCCTTATTATGTGAGCAACATTCTTGGTGGATTAGATGAGGATGGTAAAGGTTGCGTATACAGTTATGATCCCATAGGACATTGTGAAGTAACAAAATATAGAGCGGGTGGTTCTGCTGGTGCTCTTCTGCAGCCTCTTCTGGACAATCAGGTAGTGAACAGCAGTACTATTATTATATTAAATTGGATTTTAACTACCTATCAAAGTAATATATTTCTTTAGATTGGATATAAAAATCAAGAAGGTGTTGAACCTATCCCTTTAACTCAAGAAAAAGCTGTTGCAATTATAAAAGATGTTTTCATATCAGCTGCAGAAAGAGATATTTACACTGGTGATTCTATAAGTATCAAAATTATAACAAAAGATGGCATACAGGATTCAACCTTTGAATTGAGAAAAGATTAATGGAGTGAAATAAAATTTATACACTATCAAATTTCTATATGAATAAAGTTAACGCTAAAAAAGTATAATTAATATTTATTTAATAATTTCTTATCTTTATATACAACTATTGTGATTTGTATCATATTATACATTGAAATGAGTGTGTATGTGTGTGTATAAATGCTATCAAACCAATGATTTGTATGCATACACATATAGACCTTTTACTTCTATTTGCATTAATACTATTTTATTTAGCCTACATTAACCAAATTGTAAAATATTATTCATAGATGTATATCACAATAATAGTAGTCGGATGTACTTTAAAAATATAACAAAACGGTAGACAAATTATAATTCATAAATTAATGTTTGCATATTTGAAGATTGAACACATATATAACTTTTAAAAATTAAATAAGAATGCACTCCTTGTACTCTGTACACAAAGGCATACTATAACAACCTACTTTACAATAGACAGTAATATATTTAATAAAATAATATTTTATTTTAAAGTATATAATAAAATAACTAAAGGTAAAGAGTGTGAGAGTCATTCTCAATCCTACAATATTTCTTGCAGTTCTGTGTAGGGAACAATATATAAAGGTAAGAAATACAGATTGTTCCTCTCAAGATTCACTTTTTATTCCCAGGAAGTGATAATGGTTTACCACGATCTTTACCACGCAATTTGATTCCCAACACTTTTTCTATTTTGCCAATCACCATTTGATTTGGAATTCCACGACCTGCTTCATAATCATTGATGACTTGTGCTTTTTCATTTACTTTCTATACAAAAAAGTAACAAATATATATAAATATATCTTACATAACAACATAAATATGTATAAGAGTTACATAAATAATAACATACTGTCGCTAGGTCTTTCTGAGATAATCCTTTACTTTGTCTTCCCTGTTGAATTAATTTACCGAGATCAAGTGGAATTTTGTCGTGTTTTAACTCTTCTGTTTCTCTGTCCAACTTAGCTGTGTTTTTAGTAGCTACATGTTGTTTATTTGTTCCTCCACCCCCTAACAAAAAAGAACAATTTATTTATATATTTCAAAGGAAAAAACAATTTACCTATTAACTTTCAAATAAATTAAAATATATATAATATGCCAAGAAAAAAATGTAAATAATATAATGAAACTCAATGTCTTGTATTGCATCATATTAGCCTCATAATATTCAAACATATGAAACATGTTTTGAAATGAAACGAAATTTAGAGAATTATATGTATACATATACATATGTATTCCTAAGATTTAATAATACAAATCTTAAGAATACACAATCTTGAGAATTACATACATTTTGCTTGTGTTTCGATCACAAATCCTTGACGACGTGCAGCATTCACTGCCTGTAAATAAATACAATTACACAACAATAGATATTGGTCTAGGGATCATCTTAGACAAAATAGATGGAAAATATCTACCGTAAAAAGTTACCTGTTCTGATTTAAGTACTGAAGCTTTTGGTGGACGTTTCCGTAATGTAATAGGAGCGGTATTCCAATCTGACATATTGAAAAAAGTTGAATATGCCGATAGAAATGAAAAATTGTATTATCAATGTCGCACGTAATACTATCCACATCCACTATCGTATATACTTGTTCTGAATCTTCCAGTAACTTCTCTATACGTTCCAAAAAGCACGATTTAACGTACGGACCCAGAATCGACCCATGCACAACCAAATTGTCCAATTCCTCGCATACTATTTCAAACACACGCTTCGAATGATACAATTTTTATTTTTTATTCGTTTAACTATAAATTTTTACTGAAAATTTACTAGTTATTAATTTTTGCAATAGGTCGTTTGTTATGCAAGATCATGCACTATTATACATAGATACAATTGATTTTCTATATTTACGAAATGCGTATAAATCAAATGACCGCGGTGTTTAAATAGCTATAAATATATTATTCAAAATTATAACGATTTCATGTATAAGCAGTTTCTGCGAATGTTTCTTGTTTTATTGATTTTTGTGTTTATCTGATAGGGATCATTTGTAAAGTTTTTTCAAAAATGTCGAATAAATTTTACAACAGGTAACAAAAAAATTAGACAGTGAATCACATTTACACATTTATGACAAGTACGGATAATTAACAATACATTCAAAAATATGTAATAATTATACTATGGATCATTATACATTTATAATACATATGGATAATTGACAATAAATTGGAAAATATGTAAAAACTAGACCACGGATTTTTATATATTTGAGAAATTTTTAAAGTCAATATTATACAAAATCCTAGTATGTAAAATTTATAAAATATCAAAACTAAAATGTTCGTTATAATATTTAATAGATGAAACAAATCTCTATTTAAGCCCCACTTCTTTATAGTCAGTTTTATTAAAATATGAAATTAGATAAACATCCAATAATCTAATAATAATTTACAATAAAAATGTAATTACTAATTCTGTAAAACATAGAACTTTCATTATTTCCTTTAAATTGTAACAAAATAATAAATTATTAAAGAGACAAAATTTGGTAAAACTATATATTTTTATCAAATCAATTTTATTTAGAAATTTACCAACAAGTGTTCGTAGAAATTTTATAATATTCGATGATACAATTATGTTTAAACCATTATAAATTATTGTTATATAAGAGAGAGAGCAGAATATATTCATCATAAACGAATTTAATAGTGTTTTTTTTTTTTTAGACCATATGATCGCATCTATCCAACAAATACGTTACCAATCGTAACGGTTTGTTTTCTTATGTTATGTGCATGATTTGCTAAGTTGCTGTGTCCCGTATTTTACATTGGCGATTTGGAACGTTGATTTGTTTGAAATATTTGAAACAAATGAGAAATGTCTTTCATTCGCACACTTTGGAAATGTAATTTTGGTCCTCGCCTTTTTAAAGTTTATGAAATAACATGGATCGGTCGTTTAGTTGAGGTATTTATTAATAATTACACAAAATTTATTAGACTAGTGTATTTTTAGGTTATGTCTTTATTAATTTATTTCAGAAATCATATGAGCCTAACAGTTTAGAACGATGGGGTGATCAAATCGTAATTTGCGTGAGTATTTCATTAAAAGGAAGATTATGTTCAAATTTTATTTTTAATAACATAAACTGATCCATTAAGAATATTAATTGTGTTTCTAGAAATTGATATGATCAATCGTCAATAGACTACGGATTTTTATGCAAATTTATATCCTCGAAAATATAATTAAAAATTTGGAACCTCTGTGGAAAATTGTTTTATTACCAAGTGTTATAGAAAGTATTATATTTTTGATGTGTCATATATTTTTTTATGTTATTGCAATTTTGTATTTTCAGTTCTCATATAAATGCATAAAAATTTGCAGTCTGATAATTATGATAATTGTTTATCATGAAATTAATTACATAATGGAAACAAATGTCCCGTCTGTGAAACAAATCTGTTAATAAATTTATTTCAGTTTGCAGCAATTTGGTCCATAAGTCTATATACAATTCCATTAGTGGCTATCTTTTTCTATCAACACAGCAATTCTATAACAGAGAATATTTCTTTCTTGTGCAAATTAGCAGCAAGTGCTAGTGCAATTTTTATTGCATCATTAGCAGCTCGTGGTTGTTCTAGAGCCAATAATCCAATATATTTGAAATTCTTGAAAACACTGAATGAAGTAAATGCACATTATAATGCCGAAACAAAGCAAGAACTTGATAAATATGAATTTGAGTTCTGGGCAAGACCTGTAGATTTTGACATCAGAAATATAGAAAAGTATATATTCTTCTTACTAAACTAATATCAAACTAATATATATCTGATTTTGAATAATATTTTGAATTTGTATTTATAGGGTTACAGCTAAAGAGAAGTTGACTTTAGAAAAAATTGCAGCTTCTAGTGGTCGTATAAAAAGGCAAACTGGTAAAGAATTTATATGTACATTGCCTTGTAAATTTTTATCGTATATTGTAGCTCACACTTTTGCTATTAAGATGATATATCCTGGAAGTGTAACAGTTCTTAACTGGGCATTTCGTAAGTTAAATAGGTCATTATTGCATACATTGTATTATCTTTTATATATCGATATAATTTATGATTAATATAGGATCTACACTTCTAAAAGGAAGAATACATTTAATAAAACATGGTGGGGAGAGATACAAATTGTTAACTGCAGATAATAATGAAATTGATGCTATATTCGTTGACAGACGTAACAAGTAATGTAAACATTAGTAACGTTTCTTTCTAAAAATATTATTTTTTGATACATTATCCTTATCTATATTTATATATTAATTTTATAGGAAAACAAATGGTAACATGTTGGTTATCACTTGTGAAGGAAATTGTGGATTTTATGAAACTGGTATTATATCAACTCCAATGAGTAAAGGATATTCTATATTGGGTTGGAATCACCCAGGTTTTGGTAGCAGTACTGTAAGTATTACTTTTGTATCAAACTTTATGACTTTTTATGTTGATACTTTGATGAGAAGAATTGCTGTTACTTTATTATATCTCATTTTAAATCGCAAAGATGAAATTTTGGCAATGTTACAGTTAATATCAATCATGTATGTAAATTAAATGTAATTGAAGTAATGGCAAGACTTCTCCTTCAATCAAACTACGATCATAACATGATAACAGTAAGACATGAAAATGACTACAAAGGGTGCGCCGTATCCTCTTCAAGAAGAGAATGCTATCGATTGCGTAATGCGCTTCGCAATCGATCATTTAAAATTCCCCGAGGAACAAATAATTGTTTATGGTTGGAGTATTGGTGGATACACTGCAACATGGGCTGCTATGAACTATCCTTCTATTCAAAGTTTGGTAAGATCATTACATTACACATTTTATACACTAATTTAATTCAAATAATTTTATGTAAATTGTTTGAAAAATAAAATTATTATATAAAGAAGTTATTACGTTTTACAGGTATTAGATGCTACATTTGATGATGTACTTCCGTTAGCTATTATGACAATGTCCTCGTCGCTAGAGGGTTTGGTACGAAACATTATTAGGGACTATTT